GCCGCTGGGCTGAGGTTGTGCTCTGCCCCGCGGCCAGGCAGGGCTGTGCGTTGGGCAGGAGGGCGGCAGGAGGAGAGGTCGGTTTTCCTGCCTTTCCCTTCCCTTTCCTTCCCTTCCCTTCCCTTCCTGCTGTCTCTGGGCCTCGGTTGCCACAGACTGACTCTGTCTCCTCCTTTCTCTCCTGCTGCGCTCAGTGGAGGATCGTGAGGATGTGTTTGTTAAAAAGCCCAGGTAAGGGGAGCGTGTGCCAGGGCGGCAGCAGGAGCTATGGGGCTGCATGTCCCGGGCAGGACCCGCTGGGCATTGCTGGCACCGAGCTGGGGCTGCCGAGCTGCGCTGTGGTATCCAGGACACAGTGGGTCAGGGACAGCTGGTGGCACTGGCAAAACCTTGCTGGGGGTGTTGTGATGTTTGGGCAGTGCCTGGACCTGGGGCACAATGTCCCCTGAGCCTGGTGTGGGGCTGCGGGGCGGCCAGGCAGAGCTGGGTGAGTGTCACCACTTCTCCCTGCGTGAGGGCAGGGAAGGGAGCCAGGGCTGGGGGGGTGCCGTTCCTTGCCCCGTGCAGCTGGGCACGGGTGGTGCACAGCACCCCTTTTTTTGCCTTCGCGTCTCCATGATGCCTCCTGTCCTGGCACCGTGACCATTGGGTCCCAGCTCTGCCCAGTTTGCTCTGCCGCAAATAAATGCTCCTGGTTTTGTAGCCATCTTTTTCTTGTCTTTGCCCTGGTGAGGCAGAGAGCTCCCAGCTCTCCCTCTGTCCCTGTCTCCTCTCTTGGGTGGGCCGTGCCCCTCTTGCCCTGGCTTGCCCTGCCTGCTCCCAAGCCCAGTGCTGGCAGCCTGCTGGGGGGCACAGGCCTTGCCCCTCCCAGGACCAGCCTGGCCCTGCCTAGCCGGCAGAGATGGCAGAGCCCTGCCTGTCCCCAGCTCTGCTGGAACTGGACCCCAGGGCTCCCCACGCTGGGTCAGGTCCAAGCCCCTCTGCACCCCAGTGAGGCTGCGGGTGACTGTCGTGTGTGAGCGGGCAGCCGGGGTCTATGTGGTCCTCAGGGTCCCTGGTCAGTCTGGAGCAGCCCAGAGCTGGGTGTGGGACCCCAGCAGGCCTGCACGCCCTCCCACTGCTCCCCAGACCACCGCGATGGGTACCAGAGACCCCAGAGGTGTTGTGTCTTCGCAGGGCTGAAGGCGCTTGGCTCAGTACCCCATCACCAAACCAGCTACTGGCTGGGCACGGGGGCTTGGCCGGCTCCTGCCT